GAAGTTGGTATGTGTCTGCATATCCATGTATTTAAAGTGTGTGTGTAGGTGTGTGTGCGTGTGTGTGTGTGTGTGTGTGTGTGTGTGTGTGTGTGTGTGTGTGTGTGTGTGTGTGTGTGTGTGTGTGTGTGTGTGTGTGTGTGTGTGTATTACTCATCATTAAACTTTACAATTACCTAAACCTATAAAAAAAACTTTTAAGTAAAAAATGTCTCGTATTTGATCTTTTTATCGTACTCCTTTTTGTAATGGAGATGGAGATTTTATACAACATAAACACCATTATATACTTACCTTTACTTGTCGAAAGGTAATGCGGTATATATTCAAATCCCGTTTTCAAAATCAAAATCAGATAGTCTCTCTCACACGGCGAGAAAATAACGAAAAATCATCACTCTTCTGAGGTATTCTAGTCGGGAACTTATTTAAGGCATACACTTTTACAGTCAGACAGAAAATCAATTTGGGAAAGGGGGGGGTAATGATTTTCTTCCGCAATAGAACAATGGCGTTCAGTAATAAACCATGGATCCCACGAACAAAAATGAACAATAGATCAATAAATATAAACATATATAAATCTACACATATATATGTATATATGTATATATACATATATACATTTATCTTTATATAAACATATACATATACATATATATATACATATGTATATATACATATATATACATATATATATATATTTATATATATATTGCATAGAATTTCAACAAACTTTTTATTATAATAAAGCGCTATGATGTTTTCTTCCGAAGTCCAACACGCATGGCGCGGCGCCACTGAACGTTCGCAACATCACAACCATCCTGAAAGTTGCCTTGACAGACAAGCGGAACAGACGAGCAAAGCCAAAAACGTCATTACTGGTCGTAGCTGATCTGGAAGGTTCCATGAATTTCCGTGGCGCCGTAAGTCAATGCGTCGGCGATGTTCTTCTTTAATGCACGCGGCGACGGGTCTTGTCTCGTCTCGGCTACAGTGCTAGTTAGTAGTCACACCGTTTGTCTAGCTACGGCACCGCACTCGCATCCTGGGCATTGGTACACACTCGAGGCGCTGTGAGTCAAAGCAAAGGGCGCTACAAACCTAACCTAGATACGTTCATCTACAAGGGCAATCACAAAGTCATTTGCAGTGATGCAAAGTTGTACACAAGTCTCACCTGACAGCAAACTCAGAAACACTTATTAAACAGTGCATGGCATTAACAGACGTCACTGAGCAATGCTGACAAACAAAAAGGTGTTTATTAATCTATCGCTCCATACGTTTCCTGGTGCGCTTCTTCATATACAGTTTATATTACAAATTAGTGTAATGATTGGAAATCGATTAATGTGCTGTAATGACTAACATATATTATATCACTGGTAATACCTAGAAACATATATTAACTATACATTTTCTATTACAAAAAAACGCGTGTTATGACACCTCGTACATGTACATTTTCCGTCCTACCTACTCTATCTAGCAGGACGCACTTGACCGAACATTTTCTACTGACGGATTCAAACAACTCCCGAAAGGTACAGCCAAGCAAAAGATGCACAAATATACACAACCACACTTACTACCACGAGCTTCCATATGATTGATAATATGACCTAAAAAAGATGACATAGATATGAACCGTGACATCGGATACACTGAAACTTGCTAGCAGGGTTTGTACTAATCAGTTAAATTTTCATTCCCGGGCAACAAACACACACATTTAGCCAACGAAAATTCCCACGAAAATACCAAACGAAATCAAAACCAGAAAATAGCAGAATATACACTACAGTTATTCTAGGGAAACGAGTTACATACACCAGATGAGAAAAGTGCTAGACATCAACTAAAAGAAGATTCTATCTCATTACTTTTGAAGAATTATAGGGCCAAGAAAGATTCTCACATACTTCCCCATGGGTGATACAAGGTAGTCACGTAATTACATAACAAAATATGTGAGGAACACTGATCTAAGAGAGAATGATAGACACAAAATAGGGAATTTTACAATAATTCTAATAACACAAAGAACAATAAAGATAACAATAATAATGATGATAATGTTAAAATATAACAACAATAAGACCAATGAAATTATAATAATATTAATAACAAAAATAATAGTAATAATAACATTCATAATAATCATTACAATCAATATTACTAGTAATAACATTATTATCATCATATTCTTATTGAATCATTTTAATTTTCATTATCTTTTTTATAATCACTATTAATATTATTTCTATCATCATTCTTATCATTATAATTATCATTATCATTATCATTATCATTATTATTATTATTATTATCTTCATCATATTCTTTCTTATTCTTATTCTTATTCTTATTACTATTATTATTATTACTATTATTTCCAATTATAATCATTATAATCATTATTATTACTATTGCTATTATCATCATTATTATTATTATTATTATTATTATTATTATTATTATTATTATTATCATCATTTTTGTTATTATCATCATCATTATCACTGTCATTATTATCATTATCAATATTATCATCATAATTATTATTACTATAATCATCATCATCCTTATCACTGTCATTATAATTACTATTATCAACATCATCATCATTATCATTACTACTATGATTATCATAATCATTATAATTATCATTATTATCATTATATTATTATCTTTATCATTATCATTATCATTATGGTGCAGTGGTAACGTTCTCGTCTAGCTATCTTGCCACATCGCTAGGGAATGGCAACCATTTCTTGCACACAAGTGGTAATTTAGAAGCAAAGTGAAACAGACAGCATGTCACACCAAGACTAACCATTGTAACAAATGGAATAAAATAAAATAAAATTAAACTAAATTATATTATTATCATTACCATTATTATCATCATCATCATCATCATCATTATTATTATTATTATTATTATTATTACTATTATTATTATTACTATTATTATTATTATTATTATTATCATTATTAGTATTATCATCATTATTATTATTATCATTATTATAAAGTATCAGTATTAGTATTATTACTACTAAATCATTAATAATAATAATGATAATAATAACAACAATAATAATCATAAAAATAACAGTAGTAATAATAACAACAATAATAATCATAAAATAATAGTAATAATGATAATAACAACAATAACAACAACAATAATAATAATAGAAAAAATAGCATTAGCAGCAACAACAACAAAAATAATGATAACAACAACAATAATAATAATAATGATAATAATAACAATAATAATAATAATAATAATAATAATAATAATAATAATAATAATAACAATAATAATAATAATAACAATAATAACAACATTAATAATAACAATGATAATAATAATAATAACATTATTAGCAGTTACCATTATTATCCACATCATATCATCATTATTATCATTACCAAATTACCAATGTTATCATTATTATCACTTTTTATCATTACTATTAGTCTACTATCATTACAACAACAATAATAATATTGATAATAATACTAGCAATAATGATAATAATAATAATAATAACAATAATAATGACAGTGATAATATTAATAACAATCACAATAATGATAATAACCATATTGTTCTGTGTTCCATCCTCGCCAAAAACTGACCGGACGACAACAGTGCCAACATCAGAACATACGACAATAGTGTCAACAATATTACCAACAACAGAACAGACACCAGTGCCAACAGCAGTGCCACGCTCACAATCTTACTAGACGTCTGGATCAAAACTACATGCTTGTACACAATACACACTCGGAGCATCAAGCACAACAGTCACGGGAATATGAATGCAACGACATCAAAATCAGCTGCAAACAGTCAGGCACTAACTACCATGAAAAATCCACACACCATTGCAAAGAAAAGCTGCTTCCTTTGACTACACGGGGACTAGCGCTGTGTTCAAGCTAAATGGAAATATCACGCTACATAGGCTAATCAAAGGTAGTCATTTTTATTACTACTCTATAGCCACACACGTTGCCACTAGTCAGCAATAGCGTCACAATTACAAAGAGCTAAGCATAAGGTGTGGGATCTCAGAGTTCCACGTGTCATTTTAGTGTACTGGCCATGAGCCGTGTCGTATGAAGGTTGAAAACAATGACACATTATTGTACTGGTCAAGATGGCGTACTAGTCAAGACGTTGTCGCGTCTAGTACTAGTCAGGTGAGTGGACTATGCGGATAATAATCGTGATCTACTTCTAGTCAAGCGCAGTTACGTAGCTAGTTACTAGTCGAAAGCAGAGAAATACCTACATATTAGTCAAAAGCAGTGCTATACAAATGCACTAGTCAAGAACAGTGTCACATCCAGTTAAGTTGTCAGAGCAGTGCCACACGAAGACGCTCTCTAACCTAAAACAGTGCCCGATGAGGGGGAAGAGGAAATGATAATAGATATAAAAATAAAACCAAGAAAAGAAAGCTGGTTGCAGCAGTGCCCACCTATCACAAGATCAAAAGACACAACAATATGGTAAATGGGTCAGTGCCAGCCTGTCACACACAGGCACTATCTAGCTGGAGCAGTGCCATCATCCTGCCAGACTCACCCTGGCTGCCTGAAGAGTGACGAATGCCTGGCCCTCCGTTCTGCGCCTGACCCCGCTGTCCCGATGGTGCCCCTATTGACGGAACCACTTGAAGCGTCTCAGTAGGTTCTCGCCGCTGCACCAACGGCTTATACGTGTATATAAAGGTCTCGCCCCACACTCCCATGTGTGTGTATACGGGCCTCATCCTCAGGTTTATAGGTGTATGCATGGATTTTATCTTCAGTGTATATACAGCATCAGTCTTGTACGTGTGTGTGTATGTATGTCGTCCTCCAGTGTATGAAAAGCCATACACTGGATCAGTATGTCTTGCTCTTAACTTGTATGTGGAAGTACATAAAAGTCTTATCCTTAGTTTCAAGTGTATATAAAAGTCTCATCTGTCAGTCCTGTGTCCTATTTCCTATTACTTGCTTCTGTTTATTTTTTGGTCTGTGTGCTGTCTTTGCTTTATTTTTTTATTGCGAGATATTCATATATACTGTATAATGCTCGTTGGTGCTTGGGGTTGCGAGGAGGATCAGGCATTTCAATTTGCAATGATTCTCTCGTGTATGTTTTTTTTTCTTTTTCATTGCTTAAGGAAACTTTGGATTAGGTCCTAAATACATATATAAAAAAATAATAAATGTGCAGTGGGCTACATAACATGCTCTCTGTCTAGTACTGAAAATTGACCAGGCCTTCTACGCTTCTAAATGAAAATTTATGAAAAAAAAAAAAATATATATGGAGGAAAAATGGAGTTCCTCGTGTCCTTACAGGGGTTTGCAAACAAGCTAAACACACAGACGCTTGGCAAAGGGAAGGGGCGGGGAGGGGGGGAGGAACACAGATAGGGGAGGGAGGGGAAGAGGGGGGGTAGGGGTCACCGTGCGGGGTTCCTACGGGCGGGTGACCAAGAGGGGGGGGGGGAGGTCAGATAGAAGGTGTTGGGGGACGGAAACATTTATCATGGGAAGATAAATTATTGTATAAAATTGAACCCTGTGTTTAAGTTTAGTAATCATTATCTATTTATATGAGCTGCTTTTTTTAAACCATATTGTAATTTCACTAAATTACCATTACTGATTAATCACACTGATAGGTGGCAATCTTCCTTGAAAGCGTAATCCTAAATTATTGCATGTCGTTACGTCAATCAAGTTTTGCAATTCTGTACGCCCATTATGATCTATCTATTTTAATCCGGAAGAATATAAAGCACTAATAAAAAATATATGCCATCAGCAACGGTTACTAATAATGTAAACTAATAATTACTCCAAGAGTTATGGAAAATTATCTGTGATCACAATTTTAACTACTATAGCTTGTGTTTGTTCTAAATATTGTATGTATGCACACATGCATTGCAAATGAAAGAATGTGTGTGTGTGTGTGCGGTGTATGTGGCGTGTGTGTGGATTGTGTGTGTGGAGTGTGTGTGTGGAGTGTGTGTGTGGAGTGTGTGTGTGTGTGTGTGGAGTGTGTGTGTGTGTGTGTGTGTGTGTGTGTGTGTGTGTGTGTGTGTGTGTGTGTGTGTGTGTGTGTGTGTGTGTGTGTGTGTGTGTGTATGTGTGGAGTGTGTGTGTATGTGTGGAGTATGTGTGTGTGTGTGTGTGTGTGTGTGTGTGTGTGTGTGTGTGTGTGTGTGTGTGTGTGTGTGTGTGTGTGTGTGAGTGTGTGTGTGTGTGTGAGTGTGTGTGTGTGTGTGAGTGTGTGTGTGCATGTGTGTGTGTGTGTGTGTGTGTGTGTGTGTGTGTGTGTGTGTGTGTGTGTGTGTGTGTGTGTGTGTGTGTGTGTGTGTGTGTGAGTGTGTGAGTGTGTGAGTGTGTGAGTGTGTGAGTGTGTGAGTGTGTGAGTGTGTGAGTGTGTGAGTGTGAGTGTAAGTGTGAGTGTGAGTGTGAGTGTGAGACAGAGCAGAGATCCAAAAACAGCAAAGACGTAACGACAGCGAGTTAAAAATGTGATCACAGCTTAACCTTTTTCTAAATTCTGTGCATTAGTAACAGCGATCTCAAAGTTACCACAAGTTATCTTACGTCTTCGGAAAAGGAAGCTTGGAGGCGACCTATCACCCCCATTTAGAGGAGGGCTAAAACTGACTATGTTCTAGGTGCACGAGGAAGCAACTTTCCCTACACCCGAGAGGAACAAACCAATTCCTACTCTTTGAACGGGATGCCAAAACTGGAATCTATTAGCTGGAACGGAATTTCATTATCCTAGAATCCTAACGCTACGTTGTCTCTAAAATGGGAAGTGGCAATTTATCCTACGGTGAATCTAAGGTTAATGAAGTGCTTTAATTAATGTACTGTTTGATTGTTTTGGGAAAAGAGAGAGATCAAATTATTTTGCAGATTAAAAAAGTTTGAATTTGCTGTCTGCCACTGTAAGGGAAGGAAACAGTCTTTTAAATTACAAGGTGATCAAAAGTAGTGATTATAATTAAAACAAAGAGTTAAATCTATGTTGTGAAACATATGGTTGAATGTTTTTCCTAAACCTTTTCTAACTAAGGAATACATGTTTGTTGTCCAAAGTGATTTTGATTTCTTTAATTAAATTGATACATTGTATACCTCGCACACCTGTGTGACTTCTTAGTGTAAAAACGAGAAAATTTAAGCTGTTACCTAAAAATAGTATTTAAAAACAAGTAAATAAATTCAGATAAATAAGAAAGATGCACTACACAAAATGTTTAAAAAAATAATTCGCCTAAATCTAGGGTCAGAGAGTTATAAACAGGAAGGACCATTAACCAAGGGAAACTTCAATGTAAACTTGTCCATTTTAAGGCCGTGGTCTCTTTTACTGTAGCAGACTACATATGTTATAACTTGGGAGTTATGTGGGAGACATTATTCCTCAGTCAACTTACTTCAACATTATTCTAGAACAATTATATAGGATATAATTTATCATACCACATCTTACAAGGGCAATATTCTTTATATAACGATGAAACAGGAGAAGAATAATTAGTTGATCTAAATAAAATAAAAAATCATAAAAATCTTAATGCCAACCTGATGACAATCATTAGTAACAACCCAAACCGGACGCCATAATGCATTTTTGTTTAGTGACAAATTCCAGATACTACAGTTTATCTACTTAATATGCCAAAAAATATAGCGAGTAACAATACAGAAGCGAAGTTATATCGAACCAGGCCTGCCAACGCCGCTTTCAAAAAGAAAAAAAGAGAAAAAAAAAATAGGCGTTATCGTACATCTGGCTGACACACACACTGTTACCAGACACTACACAAACAGCACTCTCCTCTCACCTCGTTATTGCATGTACGACATCGTTAGCGTTTCTCCTCTCTCTTTTTTTTGTATCTAAGGCATGCTGTTATCCCTAAACTGTCCAAGAGAATGGTGATACTGGTGAAGATCTGAACGCGATAAGAATTTATTTTTTAAGTGTCGTTAATGCTCAGTGGGTGTAGCCACAGCTGTTGAGAAAGCACAGCAGTTTCTACTTGTTAAAGCCATTGGGCGAATATCATTACCTTTTATTTGATGTATGCATACACATACACACACACACACACACACACACATATATATGTATATATGTGTGTGTATGTGTGTGTGTGTGTGTGTGTGTGTGTGTGTGTGTGTGTGTGTGTGTGTGTGTGTGTGTGTGTGTGTGTGTGTGTGTGTGTGTGTGTGTGTATGTGTGTGTGTGTGTATGTGTGTGTGTGTGTGTGTGTGTGTGTGTGTGTGTGTGTGTGTGTGTGTGTGTGTGTGTGTGTGTGTGTGTGTGTGTGTGTGTGTATGTGTGTGTGTGTGTGTGTGTGTGTGTGTGTGTGTGTGTGTGTGTGTGTGTGTGTGTGTGTGTGTGTGTGTGTGTGTGTGTGTGTTTGTGTGTGTGTGTGTGTGTGTGTTTGTATTTTAATGTATATATACTATGTCTATATATATATATATATATATATATATATATATATATTTCTTAAGCATATATATACATTTATACGTATATATACATATATATGTATATGTATATGTGTGTGTGTGTGTGTGTGTGTGTGTGTGTGTGTGTGTGTGTGTGTGTGTGTGTGTGTGTGTGTGTGTGTGTGTGTGTGTGTGTGTGTGTGTATATGTATATATATATATATATATATATATATATATATATATATATATATATATATATATATATATATATATAATGCTAATATTCTTCTCTATCTGGCATTCACCATCAAACGAAAGAGCAGGTATGTTCTGGACTCGGCACAAAATCTACGCGAAGGCCGGGGATATGAAGAGGGGGGGAAGGAGAAAATCGCGACAACAGGGGCCTTTGCGCAGAGCCATTGCCCTCGCGCAGGTAAGCCGGCTTAGGTCCTCCCACATTCAGGTGAGAAGGACTCGGCTATCAGTCATCAGTCAGGAGAACATTAACCTCCGCCGTTGCAAGTTCAAGTCTCAACTTTAAAGACGTAATATACGATCGGCGTACGTATTTTTTCATCACTTTTCAACGTCCTCTTCTCCGCGCATTGAAAGAATCGCAAGAGGCACATGCGTCGTTCGCCTCGGAGTCGGCCGCGCATACCGCCTCAGCACAGGAATCGAGAGGCCTATGATCTCCGGCGTCGCCAAGAGGGAGGCAGAGAGCGTGGCGACACCCGGGAGAGATAGCGCGAGGTGTGGGGCTGTGGGAGGCAGTGTGGGGTGTGTGGGAGGGACGGAGGGTGGGGGCGCACGCGCGTGAGGCGGCCATAAGGTACCACGGGGCCGCCTCTCTCATCTGCCTCTCGCAACGGCGGCGGCGGCAACATTTCCCGGGCAAGAGATCATATCAACATTTTCTTCCTGGAAGAGATTGTTATCTTGGTATATTGTGTTTCTCCGCCGCCTTCTCCTCCTCTTCTTCGTCCCTGTTTTCCCATCCTTCTCTCCTTTCCTTCTTGCTCCTTCTCCTTTTATTTCTTTCCCTTTCTCTTCATCTCCATTTTCCTCTCGCTCTTACCCTTATCCTTACCATTACCCTTTTCTCCTCCCCCACTCCCCCTTACCTCTGCCCCCCCTTCCCCTTCGCCCTCAGGAACTTTGATCTTCCCCGGCATCTGCCCCACGCTGTTCCCTCTGCCTCCTCGGAATAAAGGGCGCAGCGCGTGCCCTTTCATTCAAATGGCTTCGGAACATAGAGGACGGGCACACACACATACAATGTGTGTATATGTGAATATCTATCTATCTATATATCTATTTATGAGTATGTGTATGTATGTATGTGTGTGTATGTATGTAAGAGTATGTATGTATGGATGGATGGATGAATGAATGAATGAATGAATGAATGAATGAATGAATGAATGAATGAATGAATGAATGAATGTATGTATGAATGTATGTATGTATG